ACCTACAAACATACTCAGATACATACCCTTGTACACATACACACACACTCAGATACACACACTAACATATATACACACCCTGACACACAGATACACACTCTGACAGACATATACACACATTGGCACACATACACACACACTCAGATACACATACACACCTTGACAGACATAGTTACACACTGACACAAAGATACACACTCAGATATATACACTGACAGACACATACACATACTGGCACACACACACTGAGATACACTGACACATACACACATACACAAATAAACATATGTCATAGTATTTATATTTACTGCCACTCTCCTGTTAGCTTAACTTTATCTGCAGTGGGGTGGCTTGCTTAATGTGCTTCTGGCTGAGGCTGAAGTGTGGGCAGCAGCTCACTCCTGTGAGAACCCCTGCTCCATATGCTTCCTCTCCCTTCCTCCTTATACCTGGAAGGAAGTGACAAGCTGTTACTTCCTCACAGCCGGCTGAGATCACAGGGGCAATACCCAAGGAACTAGGTCCCAGACTCTGGAGGGGGCCCATCACTGTCTAGAGAGCCAATTGTCTGGCAGCAACTTAGTGGCAGTACTCCCAGCGCTGAGCCCCCCTAGGGCACAAATCATTTCTAAAAGATTCTTGGAGATCTTATGGACAATGATTTAACTTGTGTGACTTTAGTCACATTACACATAAGACATCATATACATTTGACTCTTGATGGGGACAAGTTAAGAATCAAAGACCAAACATTACATAATAGATGTGTTGAATTTTATTTTTAGAGAGAATCTTTTTTCTACTTGGAGATGACTACTTTTTTCAAATTAAGAGGACTGCGATGGGCTTATAATATCCAATATGATTGATAAATGTGGAGCAGAAAGACTATAGTCTTAAAAAGTTATGTATTCTCTCTGATGACACCCATATTTGAACAATCGTCTGTATATTCCTTAAAAGGGCCCAAACCTGAGAGACAATTTGGATAGAGCAGAAATTCTTCTTCTAAAAAAGTTTCATTGGATTACCAGAAATTGGGAAATTTCTGGGTCTCAATTGTGCACAGTGTAGTAATATTATTAAAGGGGATCTTTTTATGCATCCATGCACTGGTTACAAATTTCAGATAAAGGAGTTTATTTTACCTGCAACTTATCCTTTGTGTTATGCTTAATTACATGGCCCTGAGGCTTACTTTATTTATACAAACCAATCTGTCCAGTGACAGAAAAGAATTAGGGGGCATAAAGGGATGACCAGGGTGGCCCTCAAAAAGGGCAAGACACTTTCGAACTGCGAGTCATAGTGTCAATCAAAGTCACTTTGAAGCTATTGACTCTGGCCCTGTCATGAGAAGAGGAGATAATAGAGAACATGTCCTGAAACAAAAAAAATTTTTAATGGATATCCTCTCACCCAGAGTAATAAATGAGGACTAGAAACTGAAATACAATCATAAAGAAATAAAATACATAGAATGTGGGTAAATGTGTTAGCAATGAATGCTATCAACCACCTGAGTGGGAACCCCTTATCCCACTCTAAAAAATACTTAACAAATACATAGAGTAGGTGGAACACACATCTGATGGCTCTACAAAAGGAGACAAAACATAAGTTAATATAGCCAATAAAAAGAGAGAAAATTAATATGGATCACAAATACTCACAAAAAAACATGGAGCCAAATCTATACATATGGCTCTCATTGGTAGCACTGAGGGACTCTTAATAGGATGTCCCCAATCCTTCTTCCAGCTGATTTGTAGCAGTAATTGAAGATCCTTCTTTGGTACAGAAAACACTTTTTTGAATCAGTAGGCACAGTAAACTATGTGCAAAAATAGTAAAAGGTGAATATTAGGACATCAAAAGTAAGTCCAGAATAAAAGTTCAAAATCCAATAGTGCAAAATCATTCTTGTAAGTCCAATAGTATGTTGATAGTAGTTAGGTCAATCCGATACACGTTTCGCCCTTTGGTGGGAGCTTCCTCAGTCGGTATATCGTGGGGGAGCTTTCCCAGCATCTTTTTAAGCTGCTTATGCCTTGCTCTTCTGGGTCCAGTTTGTGCACACTTGGGGGTAACATTCTTATTTAGGGCCCCCACCCACCGCTCAGAGGTGGGGGCCAGAGGGAGGACAATAGATCCCACCCCCTTATCTGTATTTAGGTCCCCACCCGCCACTCAGCGGTGGGGGCCGGGGGGAGGACAATAGGTTCCCCCCATATTGGTATTTAGCGCCCCCACCCGCTGCTCAGGGGTGGGGGGCCGGGGGAGGACAAAAGGTCCCCCCTTATTCGACTTTAGGGCCCCCACTTGCCCCTCAGGGCATGGGTGGGGACTCGGGAGGGGGGGACACTTGGGTTTTTGGGGGGTTTTATTTTTAACAGTTAGCAGCCACAGGCTGCTGACTGTTTACTAGACATGCCCCTACTCGCAGTATAGCGAGTAGGGGCAGAATTTACTAATACTAAGTAATTTAGGTCTTTTAGCCTTTTGGTAGATAGCTCCCTAATACCGTGGGAATTAGGGAGTTATCTACTAAGCGGCTGCAAAAGAACATCCAAGGTCCCAAAGACCCGAAGTTCCGAAGTGTCAAAGTTGCCAAATTGTCGAAGTGCCGAAGTACCGAAGTTCCGAAGTGTCAAAGTGCCGAAGTTCCCTAAGAGCCGAACCGAAGTGCCGAAGTCCTGAATTGTAGTATGTACATAAACATCACTGAGACATCATTAGCGCAAGGCTAATATCAATTCTGTTTAAATCTTTATGCACAGTGTATCATTCATTGGCTGAGAACAGTCAGCTGACACTGTTTGTTTTTACTGCAATAAAATACACATATTTGTATTCAGCAAAGTCTCACGTGTAAAACAGTACCCCCTATGTACAGGTTTTTTTGGGGGGGGGAAGTTACAGGGTCAAATATAGCATGTTACATTTGAAATTGAAATTTGCCAGATTGGTTACGTTGCAATCTGGCAAATTTTAATGTGAGAAAAATGAAACGCAAGCCTTATATTTGAAGCTGTAACTTTTGAAAACACCATAAAACCTGTACATGAGGGGTACTGTTGTACTCGGGAGACTTCGCTGAACACAAATATTTGTGTTTCAAAACAGTAAAAAGTATCACAGCAATAATATCGTCCATGTAAGTGCTGTTTGTGTGTGAAAAATGCAAAAAACTTCACTTTTACTGTCGATATCAGCATTGTAATACATTTTACTGATTTGAAACAGTAATATTTGTGTTCAGCGAAGTCTTCCAAGTAAAACAGTACCCCCCATGTACAGGTTTTATGGTGTCTTGGAAAGTTATAGGGTTAAATATAGTGCTAGCAAATTAAATTCCCTATACTTTCGGGATGGGTTGTCAGGCAGGTCCCGCTAATTGTAATTAATTACGATACCAAATTATGTAAAAATATTACATAAATATATATGTAGAATTAATATACATACATATATATATATATATATAATTTTTTTAAAATATTTTTATGTATATATATATATATATAGTGATATATATGTATATATTTATGTATATAGATATATATATTATTTCGTTCTACGTGTATTTTGATATAAATATATATATTAATATCACAATACAGTTAGAATGAAATAACACAGCTATATATTTTTTTAATTATTTATTTTTATTTATTTTTTAACGTATTTACATATTTTTTTATATTATATATAAATATATATATATATATATATATAACAATAATTATATAAATATATATATATATATATATATATATATATATATATATATATATATATATAGTAAAATACACCTAGACAGTGTATGTGTGTGTGTGTGTGTGTGTGTATATATATATATATATATATATATATATATATATATATATATATATATACACACACACACACACACACACACACACACAATACCAGTAGAGAGCACTCAGGAGTCTTTCAAGGTAAATTTATTCTGTTGCTTTATTGAGCAATTACAAATTCACACAACGTTCCAGTCGATGTTTCAGTCTGTAAAAGACTTTTTTCAAGACAATTGTGGATGTGAGATGGATACCTTATATACAAAAAATGCAGTGATCCTATTTGGAGGTGAACAGGTGAAATGTAACAACGGATCAGAGTGATGTCATTAATGATGTAAACATGTTTAAATTACGTAATAAATTAAAGTTAACCCTATGTGTACCTGGTATGTGAAACATACTCTCGTGTAGATAAGTCAGAGAGTAATAAAAGATAAATAACTATAAAAATAAAGTATATACAAATGTTTCAACCCTAACCAAGGAAACATAGATACATAGTACATATCGTCATTAGCTAAATATTAACTCAGTTATATAGCAAACTATTGTCAGTGTAATTTTGAAGCAATATGCGATATGGACTACTTCCATCATGGAGTTATGGCAAATAACTGTACTATATTAATGCATTCTGTAAAACATAGCTCAATCATATATTATCTTCTATGTAAAAAACAATATAATGTTTCCAACGTGTATATCCAGAAAGCCTCACGTCTGAGTAACAGGTTATCACGATCTCCTCCTCTGGGTGAGATGGGTATGTGATCTATTCCCATAAAGCGAAGTGAGGACAGGCTATGTCCCATCTCAAGGAAATGCCGGGCGACTGGAGTGCTTGCAGTGCCGCTCAGTAGTGCTGACCGTATAGTAGACCTGTGACCCCGCATGCGTTCCCTTAGGTCATTAGATGTCTTGCCCACATAAGTGAGACCACATGGGCATATAATTCTATACACAACATGTGTGGTCCTGAACGTAATCCGGTGTTTAATTGTGTACACCTTTCCAGATTTTGGGTGACCGAAGGTTTTACCCGGTATCATAGAATTGCACGCCAGACAGTTCAAACAGCAAAAACATCCTGCTGTTGTCACTTTCTGTAATGACTGTGTTGTGGACACTATATCTGCATGCATCAAATAGTCTCTCAGATTTTTCCCTTTTCTGTAACTCATAATGGGATGTTTTTTAAATACAGGAGGCAGTGATGAGTCATTGTAAAGAACGTGCCAATTTTTTTGAATGGTATCTCTGAGTTTTTGGGACTTTGGATGAAATGCCTGAGGGAAGATGAATCGATCACCGATGTCTTGATGAATCCTGTTTTCTGCAATTGATATATATATATATATATATGATCTAAGTATATATCTTTTTTTTTTTTACACTGATTTTAATTTTATTTTATTTCCAGCCACTAACTGTCATTACAGGCAGTCCCCCTGCTGGCAATGCAGCAGCCAGCTAACCCAGCCATGTGATTGTGAGGTCCTCGCAAGGACCTCACTCTCACATGGCCGGGGGGGACCAGAGAAGGCAGGATCCACCGCAGGGGACTCCCTGGGATCCCAGGTGAGTCTCCCTAACTGGGATTGCCGGCGACCAGGTAAGTAACAAAAAAACGGAGGGCGTACTATTACGCCCTGCAGCGTTTAGAGCCGCTTAGAATAGGGCGTAATAGTACGCCCTCCGGTTTTAAGGGGTTAATCCCTAAATCCTGGGTTGGTAGGGGGTACTTGAGGACTGGGTTGGGAACAACTGATTTAGATGATTACAAATCATACCTATACCCTAGGGCACTTTAAAACATAAAAAAAACCATCAAACAAGTTTTCCTATACAACACTTAAATCACAATCGCGCTACTCATTAACACAACGAGCCATTAAAATATTGACATAAGTGTTAATAAAAGTGCATGTAGTGTATAATAACAGGTGCTAAAAAATATAAGGTGCAGCTAGTAATACTGTGGAATAAATCACAAACAAATCCACTCTTATGATAAATACAACAAATAGGTAGTGAACAGCGCAATCACCACACAGCAGTATGTTAAAAAAACATGTGCAAGCATTTCAAACCAAATATATCATACTGTGCGATATACACCACTTATATGTGTGTACTAAGTGGTTGAAAGATACATATATAAAACATTGTACCATACATAAACTTGAAGGTGCCACTGCAAATGAAAGAGACAAAATAAAATCTCATAGGGCAACCCAATAGTATACAGAAATATGTAAATAGGAATGTAACATATTATAGGTATCACATTTCCTTGAGCCTGTTAACAGTAACTGGCTCAGGTAGTATAGCCTTGGTGTGATAGGAAACATCCACTGGATTGGATAGGAGTCTTGATCCCCAGTAATTTCATAAAACAGGAAAAAGACAAGCCCAGTTAAAAATGTGCAAATAATATGTATTACAACAATAGTACAATTCTTACATTAAGGTAACATCAATGTCGCAGTTTAATAATATCAGAACTAATAATAATATATTTGCACATTTTTAACTAGGCTTGCCATAGTGTAATATAGTATAAACAACAATAAATTAAAGCACACACATGGTCTCACTCATGATGCTGAGCCACTTAACTAGCTGGCTCTGACTGAAAAGACTTAATAGAAGGATGAGTTGTGTATATATATATATATATATATATATATATATGTATATATATACGTCCCAGGTTCCAGCACTCAATGCTCCCGGTCTTTTAATGCTCCGGTGCTGTCTCCAACCAAATTGTATACAATACCAGTAGAGAGCACTCAGGAGTCTTTCAAGGTAAATTTCATCTGTTGCTTTATTGAGGATTACAAATTCACACAACGTTCCAGTCGACGTTTCAGTCTGTAAAAGACTGAAACGTCGACTGGAATGTTGTGTGAATTTGTAATTGCTCAATAAAGCAACAGACCTATAGCGAAATTACTTTCTCTATTATACTTGTATGTGTATATATATATATATATATATATATATATATATATATATATATATATATATATATATATATATATATTACTTTATTTATGTGTTGGGGTGAACACATATGTGATAGTAGGTCCAATTTATAACCTTTATCTATTTTCAAATCCATTCTGTTCTGCAAGCACACTTACTTTTTAATCCCTGCCTTACAGTCACAATATCTATGTTTTACATATTTGCTAATACACTAATGAATGACTCAGAATGGCATATGGTCCTTAAAGTAACACTATAGTGACATGAAAACAAACATGTATTTCTGTCACTACAGTGTTAAAAATGCAGTTTAGGTCCCCGGCATCTCTTGGCACTCTTTAAAAAGGTAATAAACTTACCTTTATTAATACTTGTAGCAGCATGCGCTGCTACCTAAATAACACAGCACAGCCCTATTTGGCCTGCTAAAATGTTCTCACTAGTGCTGCTGATCACAGACACAGAGTGGTAAAAAAGGCATTGCGATTGTTTCATGACTGGGAACCAGCTTAGCTAGCCAGTACTGTTAGAAAGGAAATACAGCTGTTTACTTAGTCTCCTAAAAAGGGTAGGATTTTGTTTGCTTTTGGTTTGATGACTATGATTTATGTCTTATAAGGAAACAGTACCCTGGATGTTAAAAATGTTGTTGTTTTTTTTTTTTTAAATAAAAATCCTGAAAAAAGCATTGGAGTGGCTGTTTCTCCATTGTTCCCATCACAAGTTTCACAGAAATATTGTTTTCTTATATAAGAATACTGTAAAATTATTTTATATTAAAAAACATTCTTAAAAAAAGGACAAGCTCAAAGTCCATGTTTAAATAATGGGGTGTTAAAACGTTTAATTTAAAAATCCATTCCATCTCACATCTAACTAATTTCTTTAAAAAATCTCCCCATCGCTTATCATGTTTTACCTTTTCTATACCACAAAACTATAGGCACCCAGGGTCCTGCTGGTGTTTTTTCTTAAAGTGCTATCATACACAATGATCCTTATAAACCCTTTTTACATTGTAAATATGCTTTTGGATGTGCTTTTTCAGGAATTGTCCACTGAGCAGGGAGATCACAGTTCCCTCGCTGAAAGATAAGAGCGGCCGCTCGCCTGCCTACATGTCCGCTCGCCCTCTTGCCCAGCAGACCCACTGGACCCCAGGTGAAAAATCCATCCAGCTCTCCCAAAAGTAGGGAGGATGGGTGGATTTAAATTTAAAAAAATAATAATAATAATTGTGAGTATTGGGGGAAAAATGTGTGTGTGTTTGTCAGTGAATGCGAGTCAGTGTGTGTGTGTGTGTGTGTCAGTGAACGTGAGTGAGTGTGTGTATCAGTGAATGTAAGTGAGTGTGTGTTTGTGTATGTCAGTGAATGTGAGTGAGTGTGTGTTTGTATATGTCAGTGAATGTGAGTGAGTGTGTGTTTGTCAGTGAATGTGAGTGAGTGTGTGTCAGTAGATGTGTGTGTGTGTGTCAGTGAATTTGAGTGAGGGTGTGCAGGGCTGGCGCATCCAATAGGAAGGGGAGGGCGCAAGTTTAGAGTGACCCGGCAGGAGGGAAGCGCACACTCTGTGTAGCGTGGCCGGACGGCTTAGACCGCGATACTGGAGCTTGTGTTTCCTGTACACGGCCGGACTGAAAGGAAGTGCTCTCTCAGTGATCCAGCCACGCTACACTGAGGTAGGAGGCACAACAGGGAAGGGAGGGGAGACAGCACCAAGGAACAGATGGGAGAGACAACTAAGGGGTGGTGGGGGAGAGACCACTGGGAGGGAGACCACTAACGGACTGATGGGGGGGAGAAACCACCAAGGGAAAGATGGGAGGGGGCTGGAGAGACAAAGAGCCAAGAGGGGAGATAACTCTAAGGGACAGGGTTAAGGGAGAGCACTATGGAAACATGGGGGAAACAGGGGAGAGCACAAAGGGTCAGGAGAGAGCATTAAGGGAGGGGGCAGGGGAGAGCACTAAGGGACAGGAGGGGAGCTTACTAAGGGACATGAAGGCAGTGGAGAGCACTAAGAGATGGGGCAAGTGAGATCACTAAGGTATGGGAGAGCACTAAGGGGCAGGAGGGGATGGGAGATCACTAAGGGGCAGGAGGGGATGGGATATCA